GTCCTTGTCCAGTTATTAGCCAAAAGCCCATCGAGGCAGGGAGCTCAGCAACACCTGGAACAGGAGGCCAGAAACACCTTTCAGCTCTAGGGAATGGATCAAGGCACTAAATGGATGAGACTGGAGGAAGAAAGGGGAGTGCAGCTAAAAATGGGCTCCAGCCTTCTCAGAACCAAAAGGAACTTCTGACCTCCCACAGACTGTCAGTGCCCAACTCGGCCTCAAGGACACTAAAAGTGAAGTCAAGGACAGAAGAAGCCTTCACTGAGCAAGTGGGATGCAACAACTTGGAGACCTCTGCACCCACTTGCACAGGGAGAGAGGTGTTTTACACGGCACTTGCTGTGCAGGTCTAAGCAGCTCTGTTATTCTTGCCAAGCCTGAGATCAAGACCACAGAAGAGGGTTCAGGCACAGCTCAAAGAGACAATTAGTGCAAAAGGAGTTGCCCTATTCTCAAGAAATCTTTATTGTGTAATGGTGCCTATCGTGCAAAGACACTTCCTCTTTAGGGAGAGCAAAACCTGCCACAGAACAAAATGCTGGAAGATTTGTTGTGCCGGATGAAGAAGAGGAAGGGATGATCAGCAGTGAAATCTGGAACAATCATTGCACAGCGCATCATCATTATTGCAGCTGTGGCAGCAGCTGCTTCAGTGCCTTCTTCGTTGACTTCCACAAAGGACTTGTGAACCACTTCAGAGAGCACCAGCTCGTTTCCAGATGAGATTCCCGAGAAGTCTGCTTTCCCCAAGTCAAATGCATCAGGCATTCCCATGCTGCTCAGAATGGGTTTCAGGTCATAATTTTCTTCCAGCTTAAATCTAGGTAAAGACACCCTCACCTCCGTTGAGTCCATCATTTCAGGATTGATCCAATCTATCAGCTTCTCATATGTAAGTTCTCTTTCCAGCTAAAGAAAAACCCCAAATTTATTTAGTTACAGTGAGAAGCAACTCAGTGTTACACAAGCAAAAGAAATGACTACTGTTTGTTTACACAGTGCATAACATGCCTCTTTTTTACTGTGCTTTAGTGTGTCTCATGGCAAAAGTGCAAGTTATACTTCTCACTACAGATGACAGCCCCAGGCAAGATCATTCCCTCATGCCTTTTTGGTAGGGACAATAGGGAATAATCCCTTCCACGTAATGTTTACTTTTACAGAACTCATTAGGATTGTTGGGGGTTTTTTATATTTTTACATATGGGAAGCAATGGCACAGGAGCTGCTGGCCAAGTCCCAAAGAAACTGAACTCAGTTCATCTGTCTCTTAACCAGTGGTTCCTCCTTCAGGTCAGCAAGGAATAAAAAAAAAAATACTCCAAACTTGTATCCCATCTTCAGTAGAGGAGATCCTACCCTCTCCTGGGAGCCTGTTTCCAGGTGGTGTGCCACAGACCATCTGCCAGCTGCTCAGAACAGAAGATCTACAGGAGAAGCCGCAGGACTTCCTAAGAGGCCACCCAAATTCCCTCCCTCCACATATGATGCTCATCATACCATGCCTTCACCATAACCACAGCTGACCTCTGCTCCTGAGGAGGCTCAGATTTTCCTCCAGAGCCTCTGGCTAAGGAGGCAGCACCCAGCTTGAGCAGCAGTGACACCAGGTTGGCCACTCACTTTGAGGGCAAGGAAGCGTTGGACATTTCAGCTGGCATTGACCACCAGTGACAGACTAGCTCTGGAACCAAACTGCAGCTCTACATGCTGTACCAGACCTTCTGCCCTGGAAGGATACAGGCTGTCTTTGCATTCAGCTCAACAACTTACTCTTTCCAAGCCCGTGGATCCATCCTGGATGGCATCAGGGAGCAGGATGATCATGCTGAGTTCATTACCGACATAGGGCAGCTCAAGGATTTTGGTCTGGAAGTCCCCAATATAGGTCATGTTAAATGTATCCTTCTTGAACATCATCTGCACAGGCTTGGTCTCCTTCTAAAAATTAAGAGATGTCAACAGTTAGTACTGAGCTGCTATGCTGGTCTCAAAATACAGAGCAGGCAGCCAGTTAATCAGGGTTTTTGAGAATTTGACCAAAGAGAACTAATCACACACCACAGAGTGTAGCCCCAGCACTGTCTTCTGTAAATCACTAAGATTCACTGAGATTTAATTTTTCATTACTATGGTAGAAATCTCTGTGAAGATGCCTTTAAGGAAATATGGCAAATATGTATCCTTGCCCTTTTGCTCCTTAAAGAATTAGTGACAAACCCTGAACAGTGCGGTAAGAAGCAGGGACTATGTTCCTCGCTCTAAATGAATAAAAGTAATTTCAATTTATATACTTTCATTTTTAGTCCACGTGGTTCCAAGTACTAGAAAAAATACTTTCAAATTATACTAAAAATACCGAGAAAGTGAGAGCGTTATTTTGAATTCTAACAAGTCAAAAGCATAGTAAGGAGGGAAAATATTTTCATTCTCTGCTCTCCTATTCCATTTCCACATGGACCATCAGCAACTATT